ATGTAGAGGAAAGGGCACTCTTCATTGTTGTGGACGGGCAGACCAGTGCCTCTGGCAATTTGGCAGTGCCAAATAAACAATTCATATCCTTTAAACATCAAATAACTACTTGATATCTTTTCTATAAAAATATGCGCACAAGGGGCGCCTGGGTGGCTCAGATGGTTAAGCATCTGCCTTCAGCTCAGGTCATGATCCCAGGGTCCCGGGATCAAGCCCCGCATCGGGCTCCCTGCTTGGCGGGGAGCCTGCTTCTCCCTCTGCCTCTGCCTCTCTCTCTCTGACCCTCATGAATAAATAAATAAAACATTTAAAAAAAAATATGCACACAAGTAGACAAAGATTTCTACACAGGGATGTTCACTGAAGTACTATGTGTAATGTCAAAAATGTCAAAAAATTAGGGAAAAAATCTATGTCCATCAATAAGAAAATGGTTGAACAAATTATGGTTTAACTACATTACGAAATTCCATGCTGCCATTATAATGAATAGGTAGATATGTATATATGATGTAGAAGGAAGTCCCTGATATAGTGTTTCCTGGAGAAAAGCTTACAGGATATGTATATGAAAGCATGTTCCTTTTTCTTTTTGGAAAAAAAAAAAAGACAAACCAGCCTGTGTACAGAAAACGATGTGTGTCTGCATATTTAAGTATTAAATTATTTGCACATGCATCAAAAATGGTCCTACAGGACACTATGATCACGGTAACAGCAGGCACGGGTACGAGTGAGAGATGACATGGAGAGAGAAAGAAAACCGGGGCTTGGACTCATTCATACTTTTTTCTTTTCACTACAAGCGGGCATTACTTTGTAAAGAAAGAAACAAAGCAGCAGCAGGACTGATTTAGAAACTGCTGGGACTCTGCCTTCTTGGAGCCTCACTCCCCACCCCATCCTCTTCCCATCTCCCAGACCCCCTCCCTCACCCCTTGGGGGTCTACACCTGTCCCTGCCCTGGAAGCAGTTGGGAGCTTAGGGGAGGAGGGTTCAGTTTGCAGCAGGACTGCGGGGCGGGGTGGGGTGGGGGGAGAGGGTGGCTGGATCCTGTCCCTGGAGTACTGCCATGGCCCCACCAGCTGGCCAGTCCTGGACCTGTTCCAGCCTCACATCCCCCATGGGGTGAAGCCCAGACCTCTTACCGTGGCTGTCAAGACCTTTCACGACGGGGCCCGGTCTTTCCAACATTCCCTCACTGCAAGCTCTGCCACGCTGGACAAAATGTCTTTCACTTTTTACATCCAATACCTTTGCTCTTCTCATTTCTGCTGCCCTGGATGTCTTCTCCACCCCAAGTCCCTCTCCTATCCTAGTCTCCACTGATTGAAACCTTCTTCTCCTATTCTTCCTGTAAGACCCTGTTCAGATAACACCTCCTCCAGGAAGTCTTCCATGTTCCCTCCAGCAAGGGTCCTCTCTTTCTCTTCCGAGCCTTCGTTTCTTTCTTTTTTTTTTTAAGATTATTAATTTATTTGATAGAGAGAGAGAGAGAGAGAGCACGAGCAGCAGGGTGAGGAGCAGAGGGAGAAGCAGGCTCCCTGCTAAGCAGGGAGCCCGATGCGGGGCTCGATCCCAGGACCCCGGGATCACGACCCGAGCCAAAGGCAGACGCTTGACTAACCGAGCCACCCAGGGGCCCTGAGCCTTCCTTTCTATGTTGTGACTCTGTGCCGAGCACTGGGAGTGACACAAACTAGGTGTCTGTTAACGTTTATTAAACTGTACAGATTAGCATTCCCATTTTCTAGATGAAGAAACTGAGACCCAAAGAGAGACAGTAACTTGTCCAGGGCTGCCGCGAACATGCAGACGCCCGCCGTGCTCTCTCTGCTGCTTGTGTGCACGGGCCTCATGGAAGCACTGCTGCAGGTACGGGGCTCCCCACTGGGCCCAGGCCAGCAGGGAGCTGCACTGTTGGCTTGCTCGGAACTCCGGGAGGAGGGGCCGCGGGAGGAGAGAAGGACTGATACTCCCGGTGGGGCTCGCCCAGCCTGGGGGACAGCCCCTGACCCGGTCTCTGAGAGCGCAGCTACTTTGGCGCCTTCAGTGTCCTTCTCCATAGGCTCCCATTCTCCTGAGGCTCATCCTCTCAGGCCTCACTGCTCCGCCTCCGCCAGGCCCAGGGCCACCCCGTCACTCGACGAGACCTCTTCTCTCCAGAACTGCCCCTGGACATGGCCCCAGCCTCCTTCGATGACCAGTATGCCGGCTGTGCAGCCGCCATGACGGCCGCTCTCCCAGACCTCAACGAAACCGAGTTCCAGGCCAACAAGGTGTACGCTGATGGCTGGGCGCTGGCGAGCAGCCGGTGGCAGGACCGCCAGGCCTGGGGACCAGAGTGGGGCCCCAGGCCTACCCGGCTGCCCCCGCCGCCCCCTGGCTTCCGCGATGAGCACGGCGTGGCCCTCCTGGCCTACACCGCCAACAGCCCCCTGCACAAGCAGTTCAACGCCGCCGTGCGCGAGGCGGGCCGCTCCAGAGCCCACTACCTCCACCACTTCTCCTTCAAGACACTCCATTTCCTGCTGACCGAGGCCCTACAGCTGCTGGGCAGGGGCCAGCTTTCTCCCCAGTGCCGCCAGGTGTTCCGAGGGGTGCACGGCCTGCGCTTCCGGCCGGCGGGGCCCGGGGCCACTATCAGGCTGGGGGGGTTTGCCTCCGCGTCCCTGCAGAATGTTGCAGCCCAGCAGTTTGGGGAGGACACCTTCTTTGGCATCTGGACTTGCCTCGGGGCACCTATCAAGGGCTACTCCTTTTTCCCTGGGGAGGAGGAGGTGCTGATCCCCCCCTTCGAGACCTTCCAGGTGATCAATGCCAGCAGACCCGCCCAGGGCCCCGCCCGCATCTACCTCCGGGCCCTGGGCAAGCGTAGCACGTACAACTGCGAGTACATTAAAGGTAGGTAGGGCGCACGCTGGGAGCACCTGTGCTCAAGACGGGCTCCCCCTCGGTCTCAGGGGACGCGTACATCAATATCACAATCAAATGAACAGTGAGGGGGACCCAGTCCTGTCCCTCTGCCCCTCCACCCTGTGCATCTAAGGGGAGACAACCTTCTGAGGGAGTATGCCACTTGTCCTTGGAGGTACCTAAGCTGGAGCTGGCCACCTGCCTGCTGGGAGGCTGCAGAGGGTTTCCTGACTGAGGCAGGTGGCCATTTGAGGGCCAAACGGAACTGGTCAGGCTCTTCTTCCAGCTGGAAGCCGGAAGGCAATTAATTTCTGGCCACAGCGCTGACACCCAGACCATTGCTGCCAGGTATGAGTAAGAGGCCCAAACTCAGTTTCCAGGAGGGGCACGTGTATTTGATTGAATGGAAACCCTGTGCTGTCGTGTGGACCGGGTGGGGGTGCAGGTGGGGTGCTGAGACAGCAGTTGGGTGCCATGCCCCATAGTCCTAGCTCAGACTGTCTATCCCCCAGGACCAGCCAGAGGTGGAATCATGAGGACAGGCCCAGGTTCTTTATCTCTGAAGGGGCCGCAGGTCCTGGCTGAGTGAGGCCCACTTTGCATAATTAGAGGCAGGTTGTTGGCTGGAGCTGTGGACCACATCTAAAATGGGAGAAGGTCCAGTGCAGTTTCCATTTCCACCTTGGTCAGCATCGTGGGTGTGCATGAGTTGACAGAAGGTGAGGAAGACATACAAAGTACATGAACCAGTACCTCCTTGCCTGGGACAAGGTGTGGGAGAGGTGGTTACACTGGGAGGCAAAGTTACAAGCCAAGGAAGCAGGAGGAGCACCCAGAAGAGACCCTGGCTTTGAAGGCTGGCTCCCTTCTAGCTCTGCTGCTCACAGGTCAAGTCAAATGCCGGCAAGGGAGGTCCCACCAGAAGGAAGCTGAGTTAGGGGAAAATGTACTAGCTTCTCTGAGAACAAGCTGGGATGGACCACAGGGTTCTGGGGTTCTTTCCTGTCCTGAGAGCTACTGAACCTTTGATTCTTTATTCTTTCTTCCCTACAGACAAGCAGTGCAAGTCTAGGCCTTGCCGTCTGGGTAACTCAGGTAAGAGCTGCAAGCTTCTATGGGGCTCAGCTCAAGGATGAGCAGGCTGCCCTGGGGTTGGACTCCTCTCCTGGATGCACATCCGTCTTGAAAGGAAAACAACCCCCTTTTCATCAAAACAAGTAAACCCTCTTAAGCAGACCCCTGCGGGGGTGGTGAACCTCTCTTAGAGGACATATATGTGTGTATGGGGCAGTGGTCATGCAAGCTGACACACCTGCCCCCCAGTCTGGTGCTGCCCCTTTCCCTCACAGGAGGCCACTGATTGGGCCCCAGAGAGATCCGGGCTGCACTGAGGGGATGGAGGGAAGGGCCACTCCCACAGTCCTCCCTGGGCCTTCTCCTTCAGCCGCAGGACCCACTGTCTCTATTACTGCCCCCAGGGCTCCCTTAGACCATCTTCCAAGGTCGAGGTCAGGCCCTGGGTGCTGGAGACCTGGACTCTCATCCAGGCTCTGCCCTAACTCCCTCTCTGACCAATCAATCCCTTTCTGGGCCTCAGTTTTCCTATCTGTATAATAAGCATATAGACTAGACGATCCCCAGGTCCCTTTCAGCTGTGATTCTTTTCTTCCCTTGAATACCTGCTGCACCCGGGCCTGCCTGGGCCTCACTTCCCCAGGTGGGAAGGGGCTTTTCCAGGGAAACCAACTGGAATAGGCCGGGAAACTACAGCCACTACTCCCCCTTGGGCCCCACCTCCCTCCTCCAGGGCTCTGTGAACAGTGGGCAGGAAGGAGCCCCAGCCTCCTCTTTGTCCCCACCATTCTCCATGACACAGTACCACTCAGAGTCCAGGCATCCTCACCACGACCCAGTGGTGTACGCACTGTCATTGCCCCTGTTCTACACATGAGGTTAACTAAGATCCAGAGAGGTGAAGCAACCAGCCCTACACACACAGCTAGTAAGGGGTGGGGTCCAGACAGCCAAACTCTGAACCACCACACTACCTGGCCCCCACCTCTCCCCAGACACCATCTCATTTTATCCTTACTGTGTAATAAAATATTGGAAGGGGGAAGAACAGGGAGTATTGCCCTCATTATATAGTAAAGGGAGACCCAGAGACAGAAGTGACCTGCCCAAGGGGACAGAATCAGTCAGTGGCAGAGCCAGGGTCAGAATCCAGATCTCCAGCCTCCAACCAGCTTGAGTGCCGGTAATGTCATCTCAAGCACTGGACAAGGTTAGAATCCCCCCGCCCGCCCCCCCACCCGGTCCACCAGTAATCAGGGGCTGGGCAGAGGGGCAAAGATGAGCGTCACTAGAACCCACTCACATGGCTTCCCCTTGTTCATCCCACCCAGCAAGGGCTCATTTGTGTCAGTAGGAGGCAGGGGCACAGACCCTCCTAGGGACCTCTGCAAGGGGACCAAGGGCTCTTTCATCTGCCTGCCGTCCTCCCTGAATTCTTGCTCTCCATCTCTGGCTCCCACTGCACCTTGTGGGTCAGTGTTTCCAGCCCACTCTGCTCATTTCTCATCATGTTTCTTTGTGTACCTCATTTTGCCCCGAAACCTCTCTCTCTGCCTCTGTTTTTCCTACAGCCATCGGTCAAGGACCCCCTTCTGCAGTCTGGTCCCTCCTACTGCCGCTCTGGTTCCTTGTCGGGGGAACTTTTCCATAGAGTCCAGGCCTGCCATGATCCATCCAACAATGAACAGCCCCACCTGCCCAACGTGCTGCCTCGACCTGACATGGGGATATCGACCTCGCGTGTGTTTTAAGAGCAGCCAGGATCCATGGTGATTCCCTCTGCAGGGAACTCTGGGACTTTCTCTGGCAGCTGCCAGGTTTGCTGATGGAGAATTAAGGGAATCTGGGGACTGAGCCTTCCCCAAGGCTTTAAGAGTGAGTCACTGAATGGGGGTGGGGGTCTCTACAGCGGGCAACCACTCATTTGGAGATTGAAGATTAAACTAGTTTGGGGAAAGATTGGGGAGGAAAGCACTTGGCCACGGTATTTGCTGATGTTGCTCAAATGGCTCACATGTGCACCTGGAAAGCTCCTTTTCACTCCTCCAGGAAGCCTTCTCGGATCTCTCCCAGCTGGCTGGGTTAGGGGCCCTGCCTCTTTGCTCCCACAGGTCCCTGGCTGCTTCCCTACACCACGTGTCAATGTTTGTCTTCCATGTCAGACTGTGAGCTTCCTGAGGGCAGGGACTGGGTCTAAAGCACAGATGTAGTGCCAGACAACATGGGAAGTCAGTCTTTATTATGACTTGGGGCTTTGGGGCCAAATCCTCATGTGGCCTCCTGTTCTGGAAATGAGAGAATGAATCCTGAATCCCCTTCCCTGAGTCCCTAGGCAGGGACAGGCACGATCAAGTCCCTAACACAACAGCCACCGAGGAAGGAAGAGAAGACAAGGAAACACGGTCGTTCTGTTTCTCCGGTAGCTTGCACTCTTGCCACCAAAATCTCTAACACGCAGCATCAAAATTCAGTTCAGTCCTTCCAGACTGCGTTTCGACCTTGGCCCTTCTCAGAATTCCTCTTCTGTAGGAATTAGGGGAGTGGCAAGCTCTGGATTTCCCTTAAAGTTTAAGGCATATAGACAAGTGATCCCTGTGGTTTGTGAAGTCAGCAGTGCTGATCCTGCAGAGAGGGTGTCCCCAGCTCTCAGGCACAGTGGGGAGAGACTGGGTGGCCTATCCGAGAGCCAACCACCACCTGGCCTTTCCATCCCAGTCTGGAGGGGCTGTGGCTGCACCAGACCCCTGGGACTCACAGGGCCTGCACCAGCACCAGGAGGCTCATGACCAGGGCCATGGAGAAGAAGATGCCCAGGAAGAAGCGATCCATGACACGGGCCAGCCGCTTCCAGTCCTCATGGCGGCGCTGGGCAGCCCGGTGGCTGTGAAAGGTGTTCGCGATGGTAGCTACGTGGCGCAGTAGGGCTTCCTGACGGCACAGACACTGTGGCTCGCGGCAAGGAATTGCTGGAGGGCGAGCACCTCCGTCAGGAGGCTGGGGACTGGGGGGTGATTCAAGTGGCCTAGACTGCCCACAGGGCTCCCCTCGTTCCCGCACGCACAAGCCCCTTGCCAGGCGTCCCAGCAGGAGGGTCCGAGCCCAGGCTGGCACTGGTCGGGCACTGGGACCACAGTAGTGCAGGTTCATGATAAGGATGGTGAGCGCCGTGGAGAATGTGACCATGGTCATGGTGGCCATGTAGTACTTCCCTGCAAGAGAGAGAGTGAGCTGGGGCCCAAAACAAGAACTCAGGGAGCCTGAGCTTGCCCACCGCCTCAACACAAACAGGCACCAGCTCACCCGCCGTGAGGCTCTCAGGACTCTCCAAACCCAATGGATGGATCCAGGAAGGAGGTTAAGGGCCAAGATCTCCTCATCCCCTATTCTTACAAGTGAGTTCTCAGAAGCTACCTGCTGCCTAATTGTTCTCCTCACGGCTGGACGCTGCACTCCCCCACAGTCCGTGAAAAGTCACACTCTCAGATGGTACACGCACAATCTGGGGCAAGTTACTGATCCTTTTGGCACAACTGGGATAACAGAACCTACCTCATAGGTTTGTGGTGGTGCCTCTCTGAGTTAATAAAAAAATGTCAAGTGCTTAGGAGAGGGCCTGGCACACAGCCAGAACTCAAGGCGTTTTGCCTGTTAAGACAGGTGAGGGGTGGGGTGTCCTTCCTGGAAGGGGCCTACCCTTCTCCCCTCAATCTCTGAATGAGGCATGCACCCAGGACGCGCCCCCCTCCCGCACGGAATCGGGCTGCTCTGCTAGGCCGTCCAGCTCCCGCTCCCCCGCCGCGCCCCGGTGGAGGGTGGAGACCGGTGCGGCCGGGGTCGGGGACAGTCTCCAGGCGGGGACGGCTCTCTCCCCACCCCCTCACTCTCCCCACCCCGCCACCGCCCAGCACCGCACCCTCGCGGCTCACCGATGAGTGGCACGCTCTCCGCCGGCGGCATGCTCTCGGCCAGTAGCAGCTGAAAGACGGTGAGCGCCAGCAGCACGGTGACGCCGAGCGACACCTTCTCGCCGGAGTCGGCGGGCAGGTGGAAGGCGAGCGGCGCGAGCAGCGAGATGAGCACGCAGGGCAGCAGCAGGTTGCACACGTAGGCGGCGGCGCGGCGGCGCAGCAGCAGCGTGAAGGTCACGTCGGGATAGGGCTCGGAGCAGCAGCCGTAGGTGAGCACGCGCCGCCGCGCCGGCATGCCCAGCACGCGCCACTCCACGTTCTCCACGAAGTCGGCCAGGCTGGCGGCGGCGCCGCGCGGTCGCACGTCCAGCTGGTGCCCGCCGTGCGTCCACGAGCCGAACGTCAGGCCGCAGCGCTGCGCG